TATGTCATTATTGCACTCAAATTTGATAAACTGTTCACAGTTCTGTGAGACTCGAGTGAGTGCTGATAGCTGAGCGGTGCTGACTCCAGTGTATCGCACATCTTCACTGTAACATCCTGAACTGCTACATCCAGGAATGTTCCCAACATAAGTTCTGCTCTCACTATCATGACTGATAACCGTCACACCAACCCCACCTTTGTCAATCATGTCACAGTACACGCTGAAGGGTGTCACGCCTTCTTTGCCATCAGGGTCAATGGTATAAGTACCTGAAGATGCTCCTGTATTGTGGGCTTTTATTTCACTACAAGAGGTTGGCTTTCGAACTTCAAGCACAGTAATAGCTGTTATGGAGCGATGAAAATTTCTCGCAATGCAATTGTAGGTTCCAGCATCAGTTGGGAAACATTTTTAAGAAGCAGGGAGCCATTTGAATAAACTACGTGACCCGAAGGCAGACCTTGGCCTGTCCGCTGCCACACAATCTCTCTTGCTCCTTGTGCTTCGCAAGTCAATAACACATTTACTGAGGGTATGGTTAAACCTTTAAGGGGAGGGAATAATGTAAACTTTAGTTTTTCCAACACGATGACTTGTGTACGGGTGGAGTCCTCGTTAAGAATGTTCTTTGCAGAACATATGTAGTCTCCACCATCTGTTTTAGTCACACGGGTTATTTCTAGTCTGCCATTGAGAACTCTTGATCTTTCCTTTGACATGTGACCGAATGCTTTTCGCCACGTGATGGTCGGTGTGGGCTGACCAGTAGCTTGGCAGACCACACTCACTTTGTGTCCTTCTTCAACAATAACAGATGAGGGTTTCTGAATGATCAATGCACCAACTGATATAAAATCAAGAGGAAGAAAAGGTGAGTAAACTTTCTGAGTGTCATCTCGAGGTAATGACTTAACTCATACTTTTTAAAGGCCAATTTGAAACGACAGAGACAAAAACCTGTGAATTAAACGTTCTGTTTCCTTCTTGTTTCAGTCACCCTGATCCATCAAAGCACAAAAATATGATGTATGCTCCACATCAATTTATATCAGAACAGTCCCAAAATAAAATAGTTTATGATGAACTTTTGAGTCGAGTGTATAACGACGGAATGAAATAATTCTTACCTTGAACAGTCAACCTAACCAATGACGTCATAACCCCAAGAATATTCCTTGCTACACAAGTGTAGGTTCCGTCATCTTTTGACGTAGCATCATTGATCAGCAGGCCTCCACCAGTTGACACAATGCGTTTATCTGCAATGAGACTGGAATTATCTTTTAGCCATATGACTTTTGGCTGCGGATTCCCTTCAACCTCACACTGAAACGAAGCTGTACCAGTTTCTTTCACGACTATAGACATGGGAGCTGTCACAATAGAGGGAGCTGAGATAGATTTACCAGGCTCGCCCCTAGCTCCAGGAGGGCC